GGCGAGTAACCCGAAGTGTGAAACACGTTGTAACGCGTTTCCTCCTCCTCCTGGAATTCCATTCTCCTGTCGGATGTTCCGGCTCGACGACCGGCTCCCGCAACGACACCGCTTTCTCCACTTTTCCTTCCTCCAGATTCCGTCCTCTCCTCCTAAAGAGACGTTCCCCGCGAACAAATTTTTTCAATCCGTCCGTAATCTGCCTCTAAAACGTCGATTCCGTTCGTACAATTCGCATTTCGATCGACGAATTATATTTCTCTCATGATAAGATAGGATAATAAAGAAAATTCGTCTCTGGAAAGTATCTTTTCCTAGAGAGATGTTTCCCGCGAACAAATTTTTTCAATCCCGTAACTTGCCTCTACAACGTTGATTCCGTTTATACAATTCGTATTTCGATCGACGAATTATATTTCTCTCATGGTAAGATAGGATAATAAAGAAAATTCGTCCCTGGAAAGTATCTCTTTCTAGAGAGACGTTTTTCAATCCGTCCGTAATCTGCCTTTAAAACGTTGATTCCGTTCGTACAATTCGCATCTCGATCGACGAATTATATTTCTCTCATGGTAAGACAGAATAATAAAGAAAATTCGTCTCTCGAAAGTACGTACCTCTTCTTTCAGAAACGTTTCCCGCGAACAAATTTTTTCAATCCACCCGTAACTAACTCTCTAAAACGTTGATTCTGTTTGTACAATTCACATCTCGATCGACATTTCTCTCTCATGGTAAAATAGGATATAATAAACAAAAATTCGTCTTTCGAAAATACGATTCATGTCGGAGAATCGACGAATTACATCGCGACACGAAAATCGATTCGAAAAGGGGACAGATGATGAAGAAAATTCGCTTCTCGAAAGTATCTCTTCTTAGAACGTTTCCCGCGAACAAATTTTTTCAATCCGCTCGTAACTTGCCTCTAAAACGTTGACTCTGTACAATTCGCATCTCGGTCAACGAATTACATCTCTCTCTCATGGTAAAACAGGATAATAAACAAAATTCGCTTCTCGAAAGTACGATTCACCTCGAATCGACGAATTACATCGCGACACGGAAATCGATTCGAAGAGGAGACGGATGATAAAGAAAATTCGCCGAATGGATGGTTTCAATTATTATTTTATATATATATATATAAAGCTAGGAGATTTATCGACTCGACGATGGGACGCGAAACAACGAAAACCGGACGCGATCTCTTGATCGCGTAAGTAAGTAACTCTCCAGATATAGGTGTCGACGTGCTCGCGTGCCGATTCCTTATCGAGGCTAATCTCCACTTTTAGTTATCGCCGTTCCGACCACCGTACGTTAACTCGTGATTTCCCGAATCGCTCTCGCCACGCGAGCGTTCCTTCGATTCCCCTTCGACTCGAATCGGATCAGGATTTCGCATAGGTTTCCACCGAAATTTCCTTTTTTCTTTTCGCGTCACTTTCCAGCCCATCGTAATCTCGCGCAGGGTTCCACACAGCGACCACGAACCTCGTCCCCAGGGCTCGTATCTCGCGGCTTTAATATCCTTTCCGCGGCAGATGGGCTCGAGTGCGTGCGGTGGTTGGGAAGAGGAGTGGAGAGGAGAAGAAACGCAGACGGTTTACGTTTTCGTCTTTTCGAGCCGACAGATCCTCGATCCTCTCCCCAAGTTGTTCTCGAGAAGGAAAAGCTGGCGCCGCGACGCTCTCGACGGCCGCCGACTCGAGTCCTCCTCGAGTTTCGCTCTTTCGAGTTCTTTCCTCCTCCTCCTCCTTCTCCTCCTCCTCTTTCTTTTCCCGCTTTCACCGTTTACCGCCCTTCTCCCCCGCTCTTCCCTCGACATCGTCTCCTCGTTATCGCAGCCACGAACACCAATTTCGTTGTTATTATTAGGAGCCGGCCCCGGCTGAAGGAGGCCGAACGAAAGAAACCGTGTGTTTACCCTCTCCAAAATCCACTCGAGAGGAGAAGCTCGTGCCACCGAGAGAGAGAGAGATTTTTTCCTTTTTATCCGTTCCACTCGCGCGCGCGCATGTGTGCGCGCGTGTGTGTACAATTTTTATAAACCAACCTTCTTTGTCGCATTTTCCACGCTATCCCGAAATCCTGGAATAGAATCTGCTTGAAATGGAGATCGTATTCAAATATACATATATATACTTTTTTCCCCCTTTCTTTTTTTTTTTTGGGTCGCGAGATCGAACGCGAGTAGAGACGTTAGACGGATCCGTAGATCGTAATCGCACGGAGTAGGTAGAGGAGTTCGAATTTAAGGAAAGCGACGCGCGGAGAGGAACGCCGGTTATAAGTGGATACAGTCGTAGCCTGTTAAACGGCGAGTTTCGCCACGGGTGACGAATTTGAAGGGTAGGGGGAGGGAGGGAGGGAGGAAGGGAGGGGAGGGGAGGGGACGGTGACACCTCGGAGCATCCGCAACCGCCTCGAAAACGTTCGAATGCCAAAGGAAACGGGGGGTCCGGGACAGCTCGTTCCTGCGGTTCGTTCCCGCTCGAGCACGCCGCGTCTTTTCAGCTACCTGAAGAGGAGGAAGAGAAGAGGAAGAGGAGGAGGAGGAGGGAGAGACGGGTGTTCATATTTTATACGGGATGGGATCCTTTATGCGGTCGACTACGGGGGCACCCAGCGTGTCGAATAGAATTCAGGAGGCCGGGTATACGTATATGTATATATATATATACATACATACATACATACATATATATATATATATATATATATACACGATAGATATTTTGACATGGCCGAGAAATTAGTATAATAAAGGGGGCTAAGGTAGGAGCGAGCGGCTAAGTGCCTAAACACACGCCGTAAATCTCCCCTCCCAACCAAAAAGCGCCACTAACGCGATACCTTTTCGACGCGTCTCATCGATCCACCGCCTAGTAGTATTTAACGCTCTTTATCCGCGACTCTTCGCCGTCCGAGAACAAAGATATTCTCGATTTCGGTTAAACTTGCCTCCTCACTTGTTGCATCCGTTAGATTTATAACGACGTCGTTCTCGCGTCGTGTATCCGTTCTCGAACTTTTGCGGGAAACGTAACATAATAATTCATTCGTCACTCGTTTCTATCGTATAGGAAAATATCTTTATTTTCGATCCAGAGTTGGAATAAAAAGGTACGTTCGATACCTTTGTTTCTCGAAATCTCCGAGGATACGAAACAGTTTTCGCGAGATTTTTCTATATATATGTATATGTTTCTATATATATATATATATATATATATATATATATATACACACGTATGTATAAGCGTATAAAGATTTGGAAGAAAGAAACGTATATTATACCACCTCCTTTTCTCCGCGTATTTTGAGACTTCCAAGCGATTTTATGGGAACGAGCGATAAGGGAGCAGAAAGACGATAAGGTGTCGGTGAAAAATTGAAGTTGACGATAAAACGAACGAGAGGCGTACGTACGGGTTAAAAATTTCTTCGGAATCGAATGTAAAAAACGAATGCAATGCTGTAGCTGGAAAGTGATCGATCGGAATACGCTTCTATTAGCGGTATCGCGACGTTCGAGCCGACGTCACTGGCGTAATCGCGACGAAACTTTGGGAGAATGGGGAAAAAAAAAAACCTTCAAAATTTCAAATTTTACACGCGAAACGAATCCTCCTCCTGGCGACGCGTCCTGGATACGCGGTCGATCCTCGTATCGCGTTCCCCGAACTAATTACACGTCCGTACAATTTACTCGTTGAAAATCGAGAGGAAAAAGCAAAAAAGAAAAAAAAGAGAGAGAATCGAGCGACGAAACGATTAGGAAATGAAAGACAAAAGAGAGGCGGACGATGCTACGCCAATGTACGTACAGCGATGGTACATACGTAGATACGTAGAGAAACGGCGGCCATCCGGTGCACGAGGGGTCGATCGATCTCTCTTTCGTCGTTGCGCCGACCACCGTGCTTCGTGATCGTGGTAGTGGTGGTGATGTCGTCGTTGTCCTCGTCCACGTCCACGTCCACGTCCACGTCTTCGTCGTCTTCGTCGTCTTCGTCGTCGTCGTCGTCGTCGTCGCCGCCGTCGTCGTCGTCGTCGACATCGTCGGTGGTAGCGATGGTCGAAGGTTGGAGCGGTGGTCGTGTCGGTGGTTAACGGGGGGCGTGGCTTGTAACGTTGCGCGCCGCCTTCGTTTCCTCGGCTCGATGCCGTCACGTGATCAGCGCTCGATTCCTCGATCGCTCGGGGGACGAGAAAGGTTGGAAAGGCAACGCCCAATAGGGTGGAATCGAGGCGTTTTCCTTCTCTGTCGAATGCACAGGGCCGAGCTCGGTTGTCGTTATCGAGGCTTGGGGAGCGGCCAGGGCCGAGCGGCGTTGCCGTGGCTCGGTTGGTGGGGCGAGCGGTGCGCGTGGGAGGAGGAGCGGTGGCCCAGTGGAGTCCGGGAAGTCGAGCAGCGCAGACGCGTTTCGTTCCGCGTCGCTCCTCGTCGCCGATTCTCGTCCCTAATAAGCTTTTTAACTCTCGTCGCGGCGATCGTGTACCGCTCTCGTTCTCGTTTCTCAATCTCGTTTCTCCACCGAGTCGGATGGAATAATACGGCGCGTAATAATACGGTGGCACGGCACGATACGATACGATACGATACGATACGATGGCCGGTCGTTGATCGCCACGTTCGTCACTTACCTTCTTCACGCTATTTCATTCACCTGCTTACTAGTAGTTACTAGTTTAGTCGCGAGTGAGAGAATTGTGATTCGAAGAACGGACGGCGAACGACAAACGAAGTGATCTGGCACATTGGTGGAGAAGAACGGAGGATAGGGAGAAGAAGAAGACGAGAGAAAGAAAGAGGGAGTGGGAAAAAGGGAGAGAGGGACGGTGGGAGGAGGGAGGTGGGAGGGAGGGTGGGTGGGAGGGAAGGAGGGAGGGAAGAAAGGAAGGAAGGAAGGAAGGAGAGAGAGCTAAGGTAAAGTGAGGAGGCGAAGAAGAAGAGAAAAAGGAGCGGAAGGAAGAGAACCGTGTGGAAAGAGAAGAAAAAAAGGAGGGAAAGAGCGAGGGAAAAATCGAGGGAATCAAAGTGTGTCGTCGGTGGTGAGAAGGGATGCCTACGAAAGGGGAAAGGGGAAAAGCGACGGACTTCAGCATCGCGGCCATCATGGCGCCCAGGGGTCCGTCCTTCGGGCATTACCACCTGCAGGGCATTGGCAACGCCGCCGCTACCGCTAATACCAGCTTCGAATGTCCAACCGGCAAAGCGTTCGTCGCCAATTCGAATCTCGATCACCGTGAGTTGATCCACCATTTTTCTCCCCTTTTTTTTTGCGCGACTCTTCCTCCCCCTTTCCCCCTCTTTCCTCCTCCCTTTCCTTCCCCTCGTCCATCAACCATCAAAACAAACATCGGAAATGACGCAGCGTAAAAACGACGAGCATTTCTTCGAAGATCAACGCGAAATGGAAACGAATTGAAATCGTCGTCTTTCCTCGATAAAAGTCTTCACCTTTGCGTTCACTTTTTTTTTCACTTTTCTCTCCTCTTCGTAACCTCTTGAATACCACCCATAGAGGAAGGATATCCTCTTGGAAGATAGGATGAATTGGATATCGGATGAGCGATCGTAAAGGCGAGTGATCGAAGCGAAACGGTTTGTACCGACTGTCCGACGGCATCGATCGCGGTCGCGGATGCCAAAAAAGAAACGAACGAACGCGAATACGAAACTCGAAGAGGAAGGGGAAAAAAAATCAGGATAAACGATATAACAAGCGAGTAGGATATAAAGAGTCGGAGAACGGAAGCGCGATATTATCGTTCGATAGGAATATTCAAGCGTATTCTTATGGAACGCGCGCGCGTCGGTACGGTGTAACGCTCGACAAACCTCGTCCCTGCCCTTCCCCGTTGATAATGATAAAACATTTTTTTTTTTTTTTTTTTCCTTCCTTGCCGCGTCGTTTTCAACGAAGCGTCACTTCGAATCCATTAGCCGAGGCGTTGACTGGCTTCCCTCCCGTTTAATTACGATCATCTTTCCGCGTGATCTATCCGAGCTTATACGCGCACGAAAATAGATGCCTAGTAGTCGGCTAGGATCGGAAAGAGACATTTGGCCGACGATGGTCGGACGATGATAATTAACCGTTCGAGATGGGAGCCGTGCCGAGCAGAAAATAAGAGGCGACGTTAATTGTTGCCAACGGATCAAGTGCGCGCGCGCGCGCGCGCGCGTATAAATTTTACCTGTTCGCGCGAGAATTAACGACGAGGGGGACGAGAACGTGAACGAGTGGATGGCCATCCGTTGTTGGCCAGCCGTGACGTTGACCGATTTCCTTAAAATTTCCTCGAAGAATTGAAAGAAGGATCGCGAGGGATCGAAGAAGAGAAAGGGAAGGAGGCCGAGAGATGGAGCGCGGGATCGCGGCGTTAATTTCGTAGAGAAGAGGAAGAGGAGGGGAGGGAAGAAAAAGGGAGAGGAAAAAAAGAAAAAAGATGGGCGGACGAAGGATTTTTCTACTAAGGGAAACGTAAATTGCTCCTGTTTTTGCGGCAGGGATCTCTCTCTCTCGTCCGGTGCTTTCAGCCGGTAATCACATTAGCACCGTTAACGACGCCATTACAGCTCCCGTGGCAATCTAGAGATTCTTAATCGTTCCCAGGAACAAGTTTTGCCACGTAGAGAGTGGGCGAGGTGGAAAAACATTAAATACGAAGCGCGATTAGATTCATAGGACACCCCCTCCTTCTCTGTTTCCTATACATCCGTAATCATCGTTTCGCGAAATATTACACGCGCAATGCCACCGAATAAATGGACGTGCAGACGAGAGAAAGAGAGAAAGAGAGAAAGAGAAAAATTAGCATTAATAACCGCGGCCGATGTTAAAATAAACGAGCGGTATGTAAAAACGGGAACGCGAAATCGATTGTGGTGGTGAACCTGTGTAGCGTGTAGCGCGTCGCTTCGAGGTCTAGCCCAAAGGACTCGGAACGACTTAATAATGAAATTTCGCCGGACGATAAACGTTAATGCCCGGTAATGCCGGTCGAATCTCCATCCAAGTTCGTGTTCGATTCGACGTTCCGGTTATCTCGTCCGGCTGATCTCTCTCTTTTGTATTTCTCGGTTTAGCGGTATACTGCCTGCTTACCTACCTACCTACCTACCTACCTACCTATCTACCTACCTAACCTACCTACCTAACCTACCTAACCTACCTACCTACCTACCTACCTACCCACTCGAGAATCTAGAAGGAAGCGCGTCAACTCGTGTAACGCGATCGTTATTCGCCTCGTTCCGTCGATCCTTTCCCGTTCGAACGACATCCTTCGAACGGCCGGGTGGTGACAGGATTCTGGGTGGTCGAGCGTCGGTCGTGGCAAAAGGAAGCTGACGTCAGTAGCTCGGTCATATTTCTTCTTGCCTTAAGATCGTGGAACGTGGGGGACCACCTCTCGGCTCACGCTCTTGGCCCCCTCTCGGTTTTTAAACTCCTTCCGTTGTCCGGAAAGCTTCCGGTAGCGCCGCGCACCGCTCCTCTCCTCTCTTCCCGCCCGACCATTTCTACCTTCCTCTTCTTCTTTTTCTTCTTCTTCTTCCAAGGTTGCGCGTATAACAAGGGCGTAACGCGTCGCGTGTACAACGCGTTATACAACGTTAATTAACGTACACATACACGTACATGTACAAACATGTTTTTATGGAACGTAGCCGCTAGTTAATATCGCATCCGTTCGATACCCGACCATTACGCGACGCCTTTATTCGGACGATTCACCGTTGATATTCTCTTTGTCGATGAATAAACAGAGAAAGAGAGAGAGAGAGAGAGAGGGATCGGAGATGAAAACCGCGAATACGTGCGGTGTCGTGAGAGAACGTCGTGGAAAGTGTTGGGAGCACGCAACACGCGCCCGCTCGAGGTGTTAATTTTACGACGATCGAGGCGAAACTTTTGCTTCCTTTCGCGAAAACCCAAAGTTTTTGAGACTTCGGCTCAATAAGGAAATTCGCGCAGATGCGATTCCTCTCCTTTCTCCTCCTCTCTCTCTCTCTCTCGTTTCGAATTATTGTTACTCGTCGAAGAAAGACAGAGATAAAGAGAGAGAGAGAGAGGGAGCAGGGTGTATGCGTGCGCGACAAGTGGCCGCGTGAGTGCGTACATGCACGCAGATGCGATGATGCACGCAACCGGTAAGAAACGCACGCGATGCGCTCACCTTCCTTTTTAACGCGCTTCGCTCCCCCCTTTTGCTCTTCCTCTTTCTCATCCACTCGTTTATCGCTTTCCCCGAAATTCCTTCCTTTCCGTTTCGATTCGATCCCTCGATCGCGATTCCATTTTTTTCTCTCTGTCTCGTTCGAGCGTTCGTCGAACGAAGAGAGGAGATGAAGGAATGACGAGAGGGACGAGGAGGGAAAGTAATTGGCCGAACGCTATATCTGTCAAATACGTCGTCGAAAATTTGACGAAAAACCGGTTTGGGCACGCGCTCGGCCGGGGAAACATTCGTTCCTACGACTTTGAACGCGTGAATCGGAAACGATACCCGAAAATACCTTTAAAACGATAATCGAGGGTTAAAGGGTCTCTCTCTCTCTCTCTCTCTCTCTCTCTCTCTCTCTCTCTCTCTCTCTCTCTCTCTCGCTCGCAACATCTTTCTCTATTTTCCAACCAACCGACCGACCGACCGACCAAGAAAGGCAAAGAATATATCCGGCTAAAATCTTGAAGTTCGAAAGTTCCGTTACGCGAATCGTGACGCGATTTAATCGAAACGCGTTCTTCTCTCGACGAACGTGGAAGAGAATCGGAGATATTACGGCGTTTGAAAAGAGAGAGGGAGAGGTGCGAAGCGCGATAACTTTCTCGACCAGTAATTTTTTCTCTTTTCTTTCCTTCTTTCTTTCCTTCTTTTTTTTTCCCCCTCTGTTCCTCGTTGGCGACACGTGTGCGCGTAAACGCGCACGGGTATCACTCGCGGATCCAATTTGAGATACGCGGCCGGAAGACGCATTGTTCGCGGGGAATAGTACAAATTAACAGATCGGTATCGTGACGGGTGCAATTAACATTGTGTACACTGTAGCCGCGGTGGATCGGCTTTCTTGAAATCTGACGGTTTAATTAGGCGCCACCTTCGCGGCAGATGCTCGCTCGCTCGCTCGCTCGTTCGCTTCGATTAATTACCCCCTCCCTCCCCCCCCTCCCCCCGCTCGCCTCTCCCCTATCGTTTCGCTTCATCTCGCTTCGAATCGACACGGTTCGAACACGATCCCCCTTTTTATACACAGCAACTTTTTTTTTTTTAATACCAACCAACGTATTTATTTTTGTCGTTGCGTCTGCGAAATGTTAATCCGGGTAAAGGAAACTGGGGTAGAAAAATTTTTTTTCGACACAAAAGCGACGAAAACGAGAACGAGAAGTAGGACGACGACGACGACGACGAAGAAAGAAATGGATGGATATTTTCAGGAGGGACATCGACGAGGGCATCGCCGGTGAACATCGTTGCGACGGCGACCGTGGTGACGGACGAGGCGTTACTCGGCGACGACGAGGTGGACAACTGCGAGGGGGAGAGCGAGGGAACGGAGAAATCGACCCAGGAGGAGGACGAGGAGGTGGACGTGGACGTGGAGGAGTGCAGCAGCGTGGACGAGGGGCCGATCCACGACGCGGTTTCGGCCGCGGCCAACGCGGCGGCGGCGGCGGCGGCGGCGGCCAAGTGCCAACAGGACGGCAACTCGGACGAGAGGAGGGCGCATCGGTTGAGGACCAGTTGCAACTCGGACGAGCTTCGGGACGTTGAGTGCCACCTCGAGACCAAGGAGTTGTGGGACAAGTTCAACGATCTCGGCACCGAGATGATCATCACGAAAACCGGCAGGTAAATACGCAACACCCTCCTCCTCCTCCCCCCCTCTCTATTATCCTCCCGAAGATAGGAAAACGGAAAAGCGTCGAGCGTCCACTATCCGACGGATGTCCGACTGGACCGTTTCTCCCTCGCCTTCGCGGTTCTCACCTTCGCCGTTTACTTTTCTCGTAGCAAGCAATATGCTAATAAAGCAGCTGGCGCGCTCTAAGGACGCGTGACCACGAAATTACGTCGAGAGAGAGAGAGAGAGAGGAGTGACGCGTTCGCGTGATGACGCGCCTCCTCCTGTATACCCGTTAACAACACGCGTGGTTAACGGGTCGGGTCTACGTTGACCGGAGACGGAGAGAATGGGCGATATTTGGAAACGAGAAGAATCGGGGAGGGGACAACTTTCTTTCTTTCGGGCCACGATCGATATATACGGTGGAAGAAAGTTGCGAAGCGATGCACGAGAATAGCGTCGTTAGCGCGAGAAACTTGGCACGAAATCCCAGCCGAACGAAAACGTCACTCTCTGTCTCTCTCTCTCTCTCTTTCTCCTTCTCGAGTGACAATACGGAATTCGGACCAATCAGGTGGAATTGTTGTGGCCCTACGGGGTGCCAACGCCGTGTATATATATGTATATATATGTATATATATGTATATATATATATATGTATATACTCTTCCTCGGAGGACTCGACGAGGTCTCCTTTTTTCCCACGTTGGCACCCAGCTTCTCTCTAGCTTCTCTCTCTCTCTCTCTCTCTCTCTCTCTCTTCTCGTGGTTTCGTTCGATAACCGTTCGAACGATAATAATTCGAAGGAAAGAAAGGAAGGATTCACGCAGGAGCGTATATTTTTCAAAGTTTAAGTAGGTAAGCGGTGGACTGCGGAATAGGAGGTGTGGACGAGCGGGTCGAGCAGGAGAGCGAGACAGGATACAGGCGGATAGAGAGGGTACTCGTCACGCGAACCCTTCATCAAGGTGGCAGCAACCTACGTTATATACGCTCACGCGTGGCTCTGACCGGTAGGTAGGTAGGTAGGGTGAACGTGCACGGATCGCGAAACACTGCGACGAGAACGACGACGACGACGAACGAACGAACTAACGAACGAACGAAACGGGAAAGAGAAGAGACGCGAGAAAAAACGAGTCTCCGCCTCGTTGGCGAACAAAAAAGAGAGAAAAAACTGCGGCGCTTAATTGTCGAAATACTCGATCGAGATATATATATATATATATATACACACTGGAAAGAAGGAGGGGAAGAGCGCGACGCGACATAATTATAACGGAGACAACACCTGGCGGGTGTTGGAAAGTCGTTAGCTCGGCAAACGTTTAAGTAACTCGAACGGCCTTTCGGATCGCTATAATATCCACCGCTTCCGTAATCCATTTGTAGCAGCAGCACCAGCACCAGCAACAGCAGCAGCAGCAGCAGCCCTTCCATCGGTGGTTCTGTCCTCGGGGCTGATGGCTTCTCTCTCTCTTTCTCTCTCTATCTATCTGTCTTTCTCTCTTTCTCTCCCTCCCTCACCCCTGAACACGAACCACGACAGACCAGTCGGACGCGTACGTAGTATGCGTGTCTAACGCGCACGTATACGCGCGCGTTTCGAGGTTGTTGGGGTGGTTTGGGGTCGAGGTGTTCCTGCGATTATGGCCTCGTTAGCCACGGCCCGTGGAGAGAGAGAGGGCTTGTTTGTTTCTGCCTAATTTGACAGGGAAATACGCGCGGTGCGGGAGACGGATCGGGGTGGAGGGGGAGAGAGAAAGAGAGGAAAGGAATTTTTTTTTCTTTTCTCGCGTGTGGATTCGATCCACGCGTAGATGGACGAATTAGACGGCGATCGCAATTTAAGCAGGCGGCTTGGGTGGTGGTTGAGAAAATAGATCGAGGGGAAGGGACGAAGGGGAGAAACACCCAATTGACTTACTATTCGGGATATTTAATAGTCGTATTTCCTGATGCGTCGTATTCCCATTCCAGAGGTGAACGAAGTGGAGGGTCGAAACGACTTCCCCCTCCCTCCTCCATTCGTTTCATTCTCTCGCGATTCGAACGACGGCACGATGGCGTATTTTTCTTCTTCTCCTCGCTTAATTTTTCTCTCTATCTCTATATATATATATATATATATATACACACACACACACACACACACACACACACACCTTCCCGAAATGCGAAACAACCAAGACTTCTTTTTAACGAGATCTCGCATTTTCGAGCTAAGAAACGAATAATATATATATATATATATTAATGCGCGCGTAAGGATGTAGAGCGGAGAGGAGGGAGGTCGATCGGTAGTGGTGGTGGTCGAATCGGTGTTGCGGCCGTTTGCGGTTTTGTCGGAACGACGACGAGAGCTCGAGGAGAGATCTCTTCTTCCCCCCTCTTCGGATGGAAGAAGGCGACGTTTGTCGCGCGTTTCTGTTTTCATTTCTTCTTTCCCTCCCTCCCCCTGTTCACGGCATCACGGTGCCGAAAAATTTCCAGCTCAAAATAGCGATAAGTCCGCAAATTTGCATGGAGAGAATGATCTCGCACATCGGTCTCTGCTTGGCAAAGATCGCGAGCGTAACGAGCAAACCGGAATAAATGATAGCCCTCGCGAAAGAACACGAGCACGAGGCTCTTCCTCCTTCTCCTCCTGCTGCTGCTTCTTCTCCTCCTCCCGTTGCTCCTCTTCCTCCCGTTATTCCTCCTATTAACGCTCCTCCTCTTCCTGTTATTCCTTCCATTATCCCTCCTCCTTCTCCTCTTGCCTCTCCTGCTTCTTCCGTTATTCCTTCCAATAGCCCACCTCTTATCCCCAGCTCTATGCCCGCCGTCGCCTCGGACGCCGTTTGAAACGCTTGAAAGCCACGTGTGCCCGTCGTTTGGACGAGGATCGCCGCGTCCTTGGTCTGTTGGGTGAACGTTTTCGTCTCGGATGCGATCGCGCAAAATTGCGAGGTGATCTGGCGGATGGTCTGCTCGGTCTGCACCCTCTTCTCCTCGATCGTCTGGGTCCCCTCGTCCTCCACCTTGCTCACCACCTCCTCCGATCGCTCGTCGACGTCGGTCGACGCGGACGACCTCTCCGACACGGATCGCTTGGTGGCGACGCAAGGCTTCCCCTCGCAGGTCGCCACCATCTGGGACGACGGATTCCCCAGATTCCCCGCGCACGTTTGGTCGTAATCTTGATCCTTGGCGAACATGGACAGCAGATCCTCTTGGCGGAGCCTCGATCGGATGCAGGGGGGCAGGTCCTCGAGGATGGTTATCATGTTTTGGACGCACGTGCGGCGGCACACCTTGTTCTTGGGATTGCACGGGCCCGGGCACTCGAGGATCCGATCGGCGGCGAATCGCGGCGGGGAGCCCATCTCCGCGGTCGTCGAGGAAAGGGGAAGAAAACGGCGTTGGTAAGGGGAGAAGGGGCGTGGAACGGTCCTCGAACGTCCTCAATGGAGGGCGGTGGTTGCGAAGGGCTCGTAGGACACGCAGCTCCTAGGCCGTCGTCCGTCCGCGTTCACGAGCGCGCACATCTGTCCGAAGGTGGTGGTGCGCCGCTTCCTCGCACCTTCCTCTTCTCCGTTGCCCGCGGACGACGAAACGCGGCGAGGTGGTGGTTCGCTCGAAGGAGAAAAGATGGACCGGGTGGGTGGGGTGGGTGGGTGGTTCGGTGGAAGGATCGGTTCGGATGGTTGGATGGGTGGTCGGGTGGGTGGATCCTTTGGATCGAAAGAGAAATCGAAACTGTGGTTAAGAAGCGCTCGTCTCGCGCTCGAACGCGTTACTTTTTTTGCTCACCCTTTTTTTGCACGCTTCGCTTTTTTCGCGGATCGCGAGTCACTCCTTCTCCTCCTCCTTCTCCGCTCCTCTTTTTCTTCGACGACGATTCTCGTTCTCCACGCGACGGTTTCTCCACGTTTGCGCCCGTCCTCGCATTTTCCTCGCGTTTACCCGCGATTTCCCATTTCTACCACCACTGCTACGCTTGCCTGCTAACGAGAGTTAGGTTACGAAGGAAACGTGGAATTTCCCCCTTTTACTTTTTTCTCGCCGATTCGATTCGCGAGCAAATTCGCGATCGATCGACTCGCGGCTAACTTACTTGGCGTTTTTTCGCCGATTCGATCGCGCTCCCTCGCGGAGAGCCGGGAAGAGCCGGGGAGAGCCGGGGAGAGCCGAGGAGAGCCATCAAGAGAAAGAAAATCGCATCATTTCTCCCGTTTCTCTTCTTTTCTTTTTTTTTTCTTCTTTTCCTTTTTTTTCCAGGCGAATGTTCCCCACTTGCCGGGTGTCGTTCAACGGATTGAAGTCGGAAGGGAGGTACGCGGTGTTGATGGACATAGTCCCGGTGGACAACAAACGATACCGTTACGCGTATCACCGAAGCTGTTGGCTGGTCGCCGGGAAAGCGGATCCACCGGCACCCCCCCGCCTCTACGTCCACCCCGACTCCCCGTTCACGGGGGACCAGCTACGAAAGCAGGTGGTCTCGTTCGAGAAGGTGAAATTGACCAACAACGACATGGACAAGCACGGCCAGGTAAGAAAATTTTCGCGGCTCGATCGGTCGTAAACCCTGTGTTGCGGCGTGCCGGCGTCGAATATCGATCACCTCCAGACCACGGGAGAACAATCCGCCTCTCTGTTTCTCTCTCTCGCTCTCTCGCTTGCTCGCTCGCTCGCTCGCTCGTCGAGCCAACGCCGACCAACGCGTTTTTACGACTGTGAAATTCGAACGGACGGCCTCGGTGCTCGCCTTCTCTCTCTCTCTCTCTCTCTCTCTTGCTCGAAAGCCCCCCACATTGGGAGGGGGGAAGGGAGGGGGAGGGAGAATGGGAGGCAAATCCGTGTTCGCCGCCGCGCCGATATCGCGTCGTCCACCCAACGACGATTTCCATCCACTCGACTCGGAGATATATCCCGTTTCTCTTATTTATCGGTAAATTCACACGTCGGCGGAGACGAGAAAGAGAGAAAGAGAGAGAGAGAGAGATGTGCCGTTGGTGTCGTTTCTCGCATGCAGGAGGAATACCGAATAACGATTTGACGTTGGCGCGAGATTTCGGACGCGAGCGCGCGCGCGCGATCCGAAAATGGCCTCGTAAAATCGGGAATCGCGTCGTGGGCGTGGCGTTATCATCGACGTCTCAACCGTTTTCGTCGTCGATCGTTCGCCAGCCTGTAAAACTGTGATAATAATATTCCTCGAGAGGAAACGAGGAGAGGAAGCAAGGAAGAAAGGAAAGGAAGGAAATCTTTCTTTTCTCTTTCTTTTCTTCCTTCGAGAAAATCTTTCTTTCTTTCTTTCTTTCTTTCTTTTCGAGCGGGAAATAATCGTCGCATCGCCGTAAATACCGGTATCGTTAGCGTCGCGCACAAAAAGTATAGGCCGTGCGGTGAAAAGAGAGTAGTAGTCGCGGGTAGAGGGGGGAGAAGGAGGGGGAGAAAAAAGAAGGAAAGAAAGAAAGAAAGAAAGAAAAAACGCGGTAGATTCCACGGGATAGGAGGCGAGAAGCAAACGAGGATCCACTCGCGGACTGGTCGTAATGTTACGAGCATTATAGGCGGTTGGTGGTGGTGTCTGTCGTAGGTGGTGCGTATAGTAGGCACGAACGGCATGCCTATAAGCTAATAAATTGAATGGATGTTTGCCCGAAGCTTTTGTCATGATGATCACGAGTAGCCCACGCTTGGTCCGTTCACCACCACCTTTTCGATCTCTCTCTCTCTCTCTCACTTCTCTTCCCCCTCCAACGTTTTCCTTCGAAATCTTCCCGTCCCGTTTCGATCTTTATCTCGCGATATCGCGATATCCGCGACTTTTTTCCTTTCTCTCTTTTTCTCTCTTCCACCAACAACTTTTCACCGCCCATCCTTCGCATTCGAATTATTCGGAAGCTATTACGCTTCGTAGTTCCCTCCTTTGAACTGCTACTCTACTTACTCGCTTACTCGTTTGCTTACCAACTCTCTCGAGATGCGTTTTTAAGCACCGAGCTCAGTGTGTATATGTACATAATATATATATATATATATATATATATATATATATGTATCCGAGAAAGGTATATGGCGCGTAAAACACGGTAGAGAGAGAGGAAGTGCGAAGGAAAGGATAGAAGCGCGGGGTAAAGGAAGGAAGGAAGGAAAGAAAGAGGGAGGAAGAGAGAGAGAGATAGAGTGAGAGAGAGAAGGAGAGAAGGAAAAAAGGCTAGGCTGGCGAGTGTCGAGGAACAGACACACCGGTTAAAAGCAGTCGTGGCGAGCGGGAGAGCTGGGAGAGCCACGCAACGCCAGTCAACTCAACTCGACGACTCAAGTGGTAGGGAACATTCCTTCGCTACGGCCACTATTTCATCGTTTCGTATGACGCGATATTATAAGACCCCCGCCTGCGTGTTGGCTACTACACGGTGGTCCAAAAGCAAGCATCCACCTGCGACCACCACAGCTCCCGCGTCCAACCGATACCTGCGGGACCCGCGCCTCCCCCCTCCCCGACTCTTCCCCAAACACGTACGTTTCTCTCCTTTCCTTCTAAATTACCAACGAAACGGTACACCGACAGTTTCCAACCGTTTCAAACGTTGGAACGACGACGCTTTTTGGGACGACCGCGACACACAACGAGAGATCGAGTTTTTACGCTTGTCCACGATCTCTCTGTTTTGCTTTCTCTCTCTCTCTCTCTCTCTCTCTCTCTCTCTCTCTCTCTCTCTCTCTCTCTCTTTCCCAACGCCTTCCCTTTTCCTTTTCTTCTCTCGAAGGACCTTTTCTTCGACTCGATCGAATTCTTCGTCCTCCCGTCCTCTTTTGACGCTTTTTCCTTCTCAAACATTCCTGCGCGAACGAGAGAAAGAGAGAGAGGGGAAAATGTATAAACGCACCCTTCGAAAAATCAAAACGAGATCGATCGAGACGAACGAACGATTTTTCGATCGAAAGTCGAGGGGGATATCGAGTTTCTCAACCCCGTGACGGTAGTAGGAGAAGTGGAATCGAAACGATACGGGAGAGATTGACGATCGAATGGAACGAAAAAAAAAAAAAAAAAAAAAAAAGAAAAAAAAATCCGATGTCGATTAGCGACGGATAATAAAGCGATAACGGATCGGTGGAAATAATCACGGAAATAGATATTATGGTTTTTAAAGAAGGATCCGTAGCAGGCTCGGTGGCGGATCCACGAACTCGAGGGAACGGAGTTGAGCAAATTGGAGTTCTGACAGGTTGCAGTGGGGTGTCCCACTATCCAACGGCGCGGAGAAAACGGATAGGGGCACCCCGGGATCCCAGACACCTATAATCGTATACAGGCATAAAGTTGCCCCGCTTGGAAACCTACGGCTCGCATCCGGACTCGTTATCCGGACTCGAATTAAATTCGAGACCTTTTCATTTTTTCCTTCCCCTCTCCGCCTGGTCGAGAACAATCGAGCAAACCTCCTCGAAGGACGGAACCGAATCGCGATATCGACGAGACGTTTCCCTCCCTCCTCCTATTTGACATTTGTCCTTGCATGCGTGAATCGTGAAAAATTTATATATCGAGTGTTGCGTAATCGTAAAAAAAAAAAAAAAAACACTACTATATAAAGAAATCGTTGATATATCGAATTTCCATTTTCTTCGTGAATATATGTATGAAAGAGAGAAGGAACCGTTGAAAGCGTTCTCGACCGACGGTTTATCCGTATATCGTGAAAAAAAAACGATATTATAAATCGCACGCGATTCAGAATAATAGAGTTGTCCGCAGAAACGTAGATCGCATTTGCTTAATTCTTCGATGGAGGAGGAGTTTCTTCCTTTCTCCGAGCGCGCGATACCAACCGTAGATAAATACGCGATACGAGATATATTTTCCACGATTATTCTCTCCTCGCTAATAAGAATCGCGATGTTAACGACGCGTCCCCGCTTGGTTGGGACGAAGAAGCAAAATACGAGAGAGTTTATCGATCGAAACGTATACGCGAAAGGTATAAGCCGATCGCGTATTACGCGTCCACGTAAGTGGAAAATTCGAACGAGAGTCGCGCGATATACATCTAGAGCGTTTCGCAGATATATATTCACCATTACGCGAGAAACTTGTTTCGTTCGAGACGGGAAATCGATACGCGCGGACTCGTCTCGATTCCGTCCTAGGTCGCTTGCCACGTTAAACTTCTCTAAACGGCACGCGAAAACAAAACAACAGAGACGGGATGGTCCTAACCTGTTGCGAAAATTATTTTATTTCGAACCATTGTATTCCGCGTGTCTCGATATCGATCGTGAAATGGATGGAATTTTTCTTTTTCTTCTTTCAGATCGTTCTCAACTCGATGCACAGATATCAACCGAGGATACATTTAGTACGGTGTCGACAAACGGACGACAACAATCTTCGCATAACCGAGCTTCAGAAGGAGGAGCACAAGACGTTCGTATTCCCCGAGGCGATTTTCACCGCGGTGACTGCCTACCAGAATCAATTGGTGAGTGCACGCGCACGCGCGCATGCGCCCTCGAGTCGGGCGAGAACGAGACCGAGAGAAAAATAAATGGATCAAGCGCGATTTACCGATCGTACCGTTCCAGATAACCAAGTTGAAGATCGACAGTAACCCGTTCGCCAAAGGTTTTCGAGACTCGTCCAGGCTGACGGATTTCGATCGGTAGGTATATCGTACTTTATATATCCCGTATATTACGCGATAGAGAAGAAACTCGCTACTAGGTACTACTTACGTAACCCCGTACGGGCGATCCAACGCCGGTGGATCGATTGGTTTCGCCGCGTATTTCGTGCACCGAGGTGGCGAGCGAAGCGATCATTACGCGCCATTATAACGTCGCCACCTTAATCATCGTGCCGGCCGAATTATCGACCGATCTCTTAGATCTCTCTCTCTCTTTCTGTCTCTCTCTCTCTCTCTCTCTTTCGTTAAAAGTGGAAATTTATACGTACGACGCTAAACGTCGAAGAGGAGGGAGAGAAAGAAAGAGAAAGAGAGAGAGGCGCGTTTGATCTCGTGAACAAGCATTGCACGCGTGGACGCTCGATTCCGAGTTATCCGCGATCATCTATCTACGCGAATGACGATGCACCTGCCACCTCGCTCTCTCCATTCCGAGCGTTTACGCGGATATACACGCGTGACAGAAAAGAACTTTTTCTTTTTTTTCTTTTTTTTCTTTTTTTCTTTATTTATTTACTTATTTTTTTTCCATCGTGTAAAAGGATTATCGCCGCCTATATACAAAGCGACAAAGTAAAAGAGTTGCGATAACTCGCGTTTACCATTAATCTTGGCAGATGGTAACGCCGTCTCCGCGTTATCGGACGTTACGTTCGTTGGTGAACGAACCATCATCTCGATTAATCGCAATTCCCTCGCCCTCTCGCTCCCTCCTCCCCCTCTCTATTCATCGCGCACGCTTTCGAATTCGCTCACGAATCATCGATCCGTCCTTCGTTTCGATTATTCGCCTCGTTTCGCTCGAAGTTTCGCGCGAATACGTTACGCGCGTAAGCGTAACTTACTTGCTCACTTGCTTACTACCACTTAGGTGGAATCGATAAAGTCGCACCGTGCCGTCTGCCAACAACACCTGCTTGCCTTCTTCTTCTTTTTCTTCTACCTTCGCGTGTCGAACGCGCTCGATTAAATAATTTTCTTTTTTTTTTTTTTTTCGTTTAACCCCGTTATAGTAGATAATAGATAATTCAAAGATCTCGAAATCGTGTAAAGTGCCCGGATTCCGATTCCGGATAGGAAAAGTCGTTATTTCGTAATTTGACGAAATTAGTTTGTGTGAAAAAAGAAAAAAATAATAAAAGAATAGAGAAGAAAAGAAAGTGGAAGAAAAGATGTACATATATATATATATATATATATATAATGGATACACGGAGTTTCTTTCTCCGGTTCCGCTCGGGACCGACGAGCACGTAATCACGCGCGAATCGGAGGCGTGTCCGAAGAAGAACAACTCTCGACCGAAAAGTCCTTCTCTCCAACGCTAATGCGTTGGATGCGCTTCCGAGAATGAAAGGGCGTGTTTCGACCCGCGTTTCTCGAAATTTTTCGCAAAACCGTGAAGAAAAAGAAGAGAAAGAAGAAGAAGAAGAAGAGAAAGATTTGATTCTCTCGCGACGGACAAACTTTTCGTCAAACTCGAAAGTAGGGGAAGATCGAGCACGCTTTAATGACACGGCAGTTTGAAAATCGCTACTCGAGTCCCTCCCCTCCTCAAATCAGCACCTGGCTAACCTAGCGGAGATCGCGAAAAATTTTGCCCCGTCATTCGATCGGCTCTCGCGGTCCAGTTACGCTACACGCTCGCGGGGAAGGAAAAAGAAAGTGGACGGGGGAGGGGGAAGAGGAGAAGAAAAAGGAGGAGAAGAAGGATCGGTGGATACGGCGGTTACGGCAGTCGTGTTCGGCTGCACGGATGCGGCTCTGGCGGCGTCCAGAGTTAATGAGAGAGCGGCCGTACGGGGCAATACGGCGCATGCTCCCGCCCACTTCACGCCGCCGCTGATAGATAGATGCCCCTTCGGCCCTTTCGCCCCCTCTCTCGCTCACCCTCGCTCACCCTCGCCCGTCCTCTATCTTTCGCTCATCCCTCCCCCCCTTTTCCAATTCGCTCCTCTTTCCCTCTCGACACCGCCGCCGCCACCATCGTCGTACATAACGAAATATCCTTCTTAACGAAATAAAGATATTACGATATATATAGATATATATATATATATATGATATATATATATATATATATATATATATATAAAATCGGGGAAACGTAAGAATCGAATTTAAAAGTTTAAAGTCGTTATTGGGCATGGAATTTGACGAGACGTTTTCCGTTTTTTCGATGGAAGGAGGGGGAGAAGCGTATGTCGCGTTCGTCGATAAGGCGAAAGCGGAGGGGGAAAAAGGAGAAAAAAGAGAAGAAGAGGAGAAAGAGAGCGATTCCAAAGTTGGTCGGAGCGCTCGGTTCCGGAGGGCAAGGAGGGCAGGGCATTCATCTATATTAGCTTCGAGAGCGGACGGCCTGTCATTACCGCTGCCGCTCCGGCCTTCTTCTTCCTCCTCTTTTTCCTCTGGCAAACTCTCCGCTCTCCTTTTCTCTCTCTCTCTCTCTCTTTCTCTCTCCCTCTCTCTCCCTCTCTCTCCCTCTCTCTCGAAGCGTCCTCGAGCGAGAGGAAGATCTCGAAGGAGAAGAGGTTTCTGCTCGGTTCCTTTGGTTTCTCGCGTCCATCGGCACCAACAACCCTCGCTCAACGACTCTCGACAACTTTGAACTCCGATGCTCGAAAGTCCTCCTTTCCTTACCTCCACGGCCCATTACCAAACCGGCACAGATGCTTAACCCGTGAAACGTTCTCCGGATATTAAAGAAAAGGAAAAAAGATCTTCCAATACGACGATACGAAAAATACGAAGAGAAGGATTTTCATTCTCCCTTCTCCTCCTCCTTGCGTATACGCGTATATACGATGCGAGGGGGAAAACGATGGAAAAGCACGGCGTTGTATGCTCGGCGTACGTACGCACGTATAGAGGATCGCGCGCTCGACGACCCTTCTGGATCGTGAGCCGTGTGACTCACACGGAGAACCGGCTCGATCGCGCGTCGGACCGCTCGGCGGCAGCCGGGTAAATTACAGGCTCGACCGTATTTTGCGTTGTTTTGTTGTTTTTCAACGCGCCGAAAGGAAATGAGCGAGCAAACGCGTCACGCCACCCCGAACCTGCTAATTTCTATTCATATTTTATGGCTATTAATTTCTTCACTGTTACACTCGCTCCTTCTCTCCCTATTTCCCCTCCCCCTCCCCCCTCCTCCAAACGCTCCTTCTCTCCTCCTCGAATCCTCTTCTTACACCCGGTATTTCGCCAACGTACGTTCGCCCTCCTCCCCTCTCTCTCTTTCTGCCTTTTCTCCCCTTTCTTCTTCCTCCTCCTCTTATTCTTCTCCTTCTCTTCTCGTTTTTCACCTCGCTTTCCACCTCGCCGCTGGAATTCGAATTTCCAACGCGTGCGTGTGCGTGCGTGCGTGTGAGAAAGAGAGAGAGAGAGAGAGCGAACAGAGGGAAAAGGGAAGATTTTTCGTTTTTATGCGCGCGCGATAGCCGCGTCGCTCGATCGACCGACTACCTTCGACCATCACTGTGGGGTGTAACCTATTATTATCTACCACTTACCTAATGCCCTGTGTCAGCCTCGGGGTAGGCGGAGAATAACAGGCTCCCCCGGCTCGCTAATATCGCGGCGGACCGTTTTCGTTTCGCGCTCTACGTATCGACGACGGGACCGAAACTTTTCGTTTCGACACCGCGATCCCTCGCTTTTCTTCTCTTTTCTCTCTCTTTCTTTCTCTCTCTCTCTCTCTCTGTTCCTCGCTCGCTCGAACGTCGAGAAATGGCGTGAGAGGGGGCAGTAAAAAAAGTTTATAGCGATCCCTCACTTTTTTTCCTCGAGTAGAAGAAGAAAAAGAGAAAGAGAGAAAAATTTGCCTTCCTCTCTCTCTTTCTCTCTCTCTATCTTTCGCTCGCTCGAACGTCGAGAGATGGAGGGGGGAGGAAAAAAAGTTTATAGCGATTCTTCGCTTTTTTCCCCGTATCGAGAAGAAGAAGGAAAAGAGAAAGAGAGGAAAATCTCTCTCTCTCTCTCTCTCTCTCTCTCTCTCTCTCTCTCTCTCTCTGTTTCTATGTCTTTCGCTCGCTCGAACGTGTAGAAATGGCATGAGAGGGGGGAGAAAAAAAAGTTTATAACAATCCCTCGCTTTTTTTCCCCGTATCGAGAAGAAGAAGGAAAACAGAAAGAGAGGAAAAAATCTCTCTCTCTCTCTCTGTCTTTCGCTCGCTCGAACGTGGAGAGATGGCGTGGGAGGGGGGAGGAAAAAAGTTTATAGTTTATAGACAGGGGTTGCGATGCTCGAAGGGCGTATTCGTGGACACTTTAACGGAGAGAGGGGAGGGGAGGATAGAACACGAAGCGGTGGGCCTCTAATTAGAACGTTTGCGAGCGTAACCGCGCCATTACGCGTGGAAAACGGCGGGACTCGTCGGATCGACGAGGAATATTTATCGGTGTAACGATTAGAGAAGGAGGAGGAGGAGGAGGAGGAGAGGGGCGGTGGAGCGCGAATACGAGCTAGATACGATACTCGCCTCGGGCCCCCTCCCCCTCCCCCCCTCTCTCGAACCACTGTAATTAGGCCTTTTATTGTCTGTACATAAGGAAGCTTTATGAAAACATTAAGGATATAATTCAAGGCCGGGAGGCGCGCCGTGACTCGGCCAACGCCAGGGTTAACGCGTGTGGAGATAACGCGCCGCGTCATTTCCGCTTCGCGTATATATACGCACACACAGGTGCAACGTCACCTCCAACCGTGGTATATCGCGGCCGCGTATGTATCGACGCCGATATTTCAATGGAACGAAGAGAGAGAGAGAGAGAGAGAGAGAGAGAGAGAGAGAGAGAGAGAGAGAGAGAGAGAGAGAGAGAGAGAGGAACGGGCGGCATACGGCGCGGCCGTGTGTGGTCCGCCACGTTCGAGCGGACGGCGATTAGCCCCTGCTCCCCCCTTCCTAATCCGCCCCTTTTTTCGACAGGGACTCTCGTTTCTCGTCCATCCCCTCCTTCCTTCCTTCCTTCCTTCCGTCTTTTCCTCTCGTTTCTCCACCTTTCTCGAGGAAACGTTGCTCCTTTCGTAGCAGCGTCGAGAAATCATCTCGTTTCTCGAAGAAACATTGCTCCTTTCCTGCGCTCGTAGCGGCGTGGAGGAATCGTGTCGTTTCTCGAGGAAACGTTATTCGGAAGCTTTTCGTCGTCCGCGCTGGTAGCAGCGTGGAGGAATCGTCTCGTTTCGCGGTTTTCGTCTCGCGTGTTATACAACGACGGACGACTTTACGACCTCGCCCTGCACCAGCCCTCCTCCCGAATTACGGGCCGCCGCCGGTTGCCAAGCGGTGAAAGAGAGAATCTCGGGTGGGTTTTCGGGGAACCGAGGATGATCGATAGGAGGTATCATCGTCCCGAGCTCGGCCGCGCTCGAATTATCCGACGCGCCGGTATCAGGTTTTCTTTTCCCCTCGATTCCTACTACCGAAGCGGCCTCCGATGGATCGACGCGGGTGGGATGTCGTTGGCGAAGAAACAGAGAGCGCGAGAGAGAGAGAGAGAGAGAGAGAGAGAAGCTCCTTCGATTTCGAGAATAATCCCCGCGTCGAGGAGGACAATCGACTCTTAATCACCGTGGATAGTTATCTCTCGACGTAGATAATCGCACGGTTTACCGTACCGCTCCCACTCCCGGTGTAATAATCACGCGAAAGTAGGAAATGACGTTGCAACGTGTCCCGGATAATCGAGCGTTAATTATAACCAAGAAATATGTCAACCGAATGATAATTCATTCCCTCGTTACGTTCTCTTCCATCCTCCTTTTCTTCCACCGTCACGATCACGCACAATCGTCCCCTTAATTAATCCCCTTAATTAACGCTCCCTCCTTCTCTTCTCCAAATCTTCTCTTCCACCTTCCTTCCTTTCCCCTTACAACTCGAGGGTTCGACTCGATTTAACTCAACTCGCTCGCATTATTTCCTCGCCTTTCGCTTTTTCAGAGACCCGATGGAATTGATGGAGCAGCAATTGGTGAGGTGCGGGGTAGCCCCGGTCAGGTTGTACGAGCATCTCGCGATGTCGTCCCCGGCGGCGGCTGCCGCGGCGGCGGCGGCGGCGGCAGCCGCCGCCGCAGCCGCCCTCGGCGCTCAACAACAGCAGCAGCAGCAACAACAGCAGCAACAACAGTCCCAACAGCAGCAGCAGCAACAGCAACAGCAATCCCAACAGCAGCAGCAGCAGCAGCAGCACGAGACGGGTGGGCACGCGTTGGCTCCGTGGATGGCACCCTCGACGGCCCTGCTGTACGGAACGAGGCCCGCGACAGGGTCCTCCCCGTCCCCGTATCCCGCCTCGCCGGCCGCGGCACCCTTCCCCTACCCCGCGGCCCTCCCGTGGCCCTGGCAGCCGCCCGTCGCCATCATCTCCCGACGATCCTCGCCCCCGACCGCCTCCCTCAGGTACGCTCCGTATCCTCCGCCAGCGACCACCCCCCCACCCCTCAGGCCCCGTCCCTCCACCCCTAATTAGCGATCGAGAGAGATCGAACCAAAGAGAAATCAGCCGACCATCCCTCTCGCCGACTCTACCACGAATTAGCCTCCTCTTTTCTTTCCTCTCCTTTTGTTTTCGTTGGGGGAAGAAGGAGATCGTTTCCCTCCCCACGTTGCACGCCTCTCTGTGTTTCTTTTACGAACGAATGCGATACTCCTTTGTGTCATTTTATCCGGGAGGGAGGGGAGGGGAAGACGTCTCCTCTCGGGAGAAAGAGAAAAATTTGTAAATAAAAAGAATTGTGAGCGAATGTAGTAATAAAAATAAAGAAGAGAAGAAAAGAGGAAGGAAGGGAGGAAGGAAGAGAAGAGATCGATCGTAGATGTAATATATACGATACCACGATAGTATTATATACGCGTGCGTATATTCCTTCTACTCTGAAGAGACGCACAGTGGTCTTTGTACATAAAATCTTTTATGGTAGCGAATAGCTTTAACGGCCGTATCGTTCATCACCATGTAGCACGGATATAAATAAACGGAATTTTCATTAACACGTCTCCTCGTCTGATTCCTTACCCCCTTTGAAAGATCGAGAATGAAAACTAAGCTTGCGCGCGCGCTCTCGCTTAGTTTTCCAAAGCGCGGTGACGCCCCGTTCTCCCCCCGTTCTCCCCTCCCTCCCCCCCACCCACCCGCTTCTCATCCTCGTCGAGTGGCTCGTCACGGCTCGGCCAGGCTTCATCGCACCTTCAACTGCCGTGTAATTCCGTTATACCTTTCTGAAATTAAATAAATTCATTTCACGGCCTGTCAACGAGCAATTATTTTTAGACGCAACCACTTTAAGCCCGATTCGTTCCATGACCAACACCTCGCGCGACTCACGAACCAACGATTACGACCCCCTCGACCGAACCCAGAAGCGGGTTATCCCCCTCGGTCCGAACGCTTAATTCGCCTCGAGAGCCGAGGATCGAAAAACCCCCGCTAATCACCTCTATCCACCGTCCCCCACCGATAAAGGAACGTGTCCGCCGCGATCGATCCGTGTTTCGTTCCAGAGGACACCCGCCACCACCCACCGCTCTCTCTCTCTCTCCCTCTCCCTCACTCCCTCTTCTTTCCCTTTCCGACCGGATAAGAAGATAAGAAGGCGAAGAGGAGAGAGAGAGAGAGAGAGAGAGAGAGAGATTTGACCGGGGCGCGAAAGCGATCGTGCGTTGCTCGCGTCCCGATGGGTGGAGCGAGGTGAGAGAAACGAAGAGGCGGCTCCCTCGAGCTTGTAATTATGTTGATACGAATGATCTGCGGCGAGCCGCAAACCGACCGACCGACCGACCGACCGACCGACCGACCGAGCGAAAGAGAAAGAGAGAGAGAGAGAGAGAGAGATGGGGTGGCGAAGGAAAAGAAAGAAGAAGAGAAGCCTCTAGCTACGTTCACCGGCTGCACTCGTCTACGTGGCCGTTTATCCCGTTCCTCGTCCCTCCCGACCGAGTCGAAACTCTGCGCTCCAGACGTTTCCCGCGTGTACCCGACCATACATCGGTTGCTCATCCCCACGCAAACGAGTAAACGGCCTTTAGGACCGTGGCGAAACCAGTTTAAGTGGTTAAGCGTAGATGTAATTGATTTCCATTTTACGAGGCTCTCGGGGAAGACGCTCCACCCGCCACTGCCATCACCACCACCACCACCACTACCACCGTCGCTACTACCACTACCACCACCACTACCGCCACTACTACTATTATTATTACCACCATCACCACCCCCACTATCGCGAACGCATCGACGCGCGTTTCACCACGCGCGTATATACGGAGCGAAATCGGTTTCCCACGCCTCGTACGTGCGTACGTACGTCAATTCGAGAAGAGAAGGAAAAAAGTTTCCTTTCCCTTTCCTCTCTCTTTCTTTCTTTCTCCGAGAGTACGAGACGCGAATCGAACGAAAATCCGACTCTTTTCTCAATTCGCGTCGGCTGCAATTGGAAGGAATCGAAGGAAGAAGGAGAACGAGGAGGAAGAGGAGGAAAATTGCGAGGGGGGTGAGCGCGAGACGCGAAACGAAGCATCGCGAAAGAAGCGAGAGGCGAGAGAAAAAGAAAAGGGGCGGCCGTTGGTAACGCGGCGGGGAACGAGAAAGAGAGAGGGAGAGAGAGAGAGAGAGAGAGAGAGGTTAGCCGGAGAATATGTAAATTAGGAACTCCGTGTGAATGCGGAGATTTATGGGAGCCCGTACACATTTCTGGCCGCAATAAATATCAGTAAGTAGCGACGCGCGGGACCGTCCGGATCGAGTCCAAACCTCTTTTCTTCTTTTCTCCTTCTTTCTCTCTTTCTCTCTCTCTCTCTCTCTCCCTCTCACTCTCTTTTTTGCCTCTCCAAGTCGAAACATCGCGTTTCGAAAAATCCCGCGTTACGCGACACACGCTTACGCGCGCGCGCGCGCGCTATCTCTTTATATCTCTGTCCAGCGATCAGCGTCGCGCGCGATTTTCGCCGAAGGAAACGAAAGAGAGAAGGGCGAGAATCTCCGTGGGTGGCTACCGATTCCTTTTGCCGTTTTCTTCTCTTCTCCTTTTCTTTCTCCTTCTCTTTCTTTCGCGCGCCAATTTAACAGTCCTGTTCCGAGAAAAAATGACACCGCGTTCCGCGGGTGACGACGGGGAAAAATGGCAAGTGGGCCGATACCATCGATGGAAACGTGGAAACGTGGATTACCGATTACAGCGTGGGCGTTGAGAGATTTTACCGCTTCCATATTACCGCGTCCAGTTTACGAGGTACGCGAGATGCCGTCTCGTTCCCAACGTTCGTCGGGATCATCGGGAATATCTCTCGCGGCCGTAAAAGTTATCGCGATACGCGATCGATCGCGAATAACACGAGTCGCTCGATACACGAATTGCGTCAACGCTCGTAAATTCGTCTCCGTTTCCTTCGTATTTGCCGATCGGTGAACAACGTGGCCCGAGAGACCAACTCGTCCTAGTTCTCGTCGTCGATCGATTCGAAACGAAACGAAACGAAACGAAACAAAACAAAAAACCAAGGAGAAAGAAAAACCGTTCCTTTCTTTTATCGTGTTTAAGTACGCGTTTTTTTTTCTTTTTTTTCCATTCTCGCCTCGAGGCAAGACGCGAAATTCGATCCTCGCGACGACTCTACCACGAAACCGGTAGAAAAACGCTCGCGATTCGGACAGAGAGGGAGAGAGAGAGAGAGAGACAGAGTGAGAGAAAGAGAGAGGGAGGAGGAATAAAAAAGAGGAGTCGTCGCAAGGAAGGCGATCTCGGGCGAGAAGAACGGGGCAAGAGGGGGGTTATTATTTACAGCAGTCCGTAAGGCGTGTCACAATGGCATTGCGGGTTTCCTCTTGAAAGTCGGACAATACGAGCTGGATTTATGGAAGAAACTTTCAACGAAACCGTCAATGGCCCACCCTCGCCTACGAGATGGTTTACCTCTCTAGCCTACGGGGAATGTCTACCAACATTTTCACCATAAATTCTTCTTTTTATCCGCTTCGTCCCTTATTTATTTACAGTCCCGGCTCTCACCTCCTAATCCATACCCGTATCGTCGTTCGGTCACGGATACGATGTATCTCCTCTCTCTCTCTCTTTCGCTCGCTCGCTCTCCTTTTCTCACCCATCTTATTCGCGATTTCGAATTTTGCGATCAACCGTCGCGTGCCGGTTAATCGAGGCGAGTTTCGAGAACGATGTAACTCAGCGAATAAACGAGCGAGCGAGCGAACGAGCAAGTATTGGAAAAGAAGGCGGATCGTTGCGTTTCTTTGGGACGGATGGCCCGCTGTGCCCGAAAACGTCTCCGACTCTTGGCTGCGGTCAACGCGACAAAAACCACCCCTCGATTCGACACGCACCCCTGAACGGACCCCCCTCTGAGTCTTCTCTCCACTCGATTCCTCCACTCGATTCCTCCACCCCTCGATCGGTAACTTCGATAATTTCAGCCTCGATAATTCGATTCCTTCCTTCTCGAATCGGATCGGATCGGATTCGTTGAGAAGAGAGGAGGTCGTACGTTTGGCGGAGAGAGATGGAGAGGTGGAAAACGTGACGATGCCTAAATTTTGAAGGGAGAGGGGGGGGGGGAGGACACCTATCTTCTCCGCGGGTAGTTTGGACGATTTCACCGGGGGCCGAGGCCAAACGCGTCTTTTCATCCGTAGGGATAAAGCGTAGATTCTTCTTCTATTCAGTAACGAACCGTTAACTCGACGTAAATGGCCCCGAGACAACCCTGTCATGGGGCGCGTCTCGTTGTTGTCGCACGGCGACCAGGATCTCTATTCGAGAGTTTACATCTCGAAAATGCTCTTTTCACGGATAACTTCACGCCGCGTTACGCCGTCACTCCTCCCTACCTACCTACCTACCTACCTTACCTACCTTACCTACCTACCTACCTAACCAACAACAATGTTCGACAATGTCTTTCCACGATGGTGGAGAAAAACCTTGACTCGAAAGCTGAGTCCGTACGCGACACGCGTCGTCCCCCTTCCCTTTTCCACACAACAAACAACCTTTGACGAAAATTCGAAGCCAGGGGGCTTCGCGTGTACACGAAATAGCCGAGCGAAAAACCCGTGCGAGAAGAAGACGAAGCGCGGTATAACACGTCCGCCAGCGGCTGTCCCGACCGGCAGACTATTACCGACGCATGAATATGAATGAGAGCGGAAGATGCGAAGAGAGAAGAGTAACCTCTCTCTCTCTCTCTCTCTCTCTCTCTCTCTCTCTGTCTCCACTTCTCCTCGCGTACGAGATGGAAAGGGGCGAGGCCCGACCGCGCGAGGAACGGCATTCAATTAGCCTCCTAGTAATTAGCCGGGAAATCTTGGGCTTTGTCGGCGAGAGAGATAGCCGATCGATCTCTTTTCGGGGATCTCTGTCGCCTCGCCAGCCGTTTCGATGGCGGTGGGCAAACGGCATTCGTGTTGAATGGCGGCAACGCGTGTGGCCCTTTTTCGCCTTTTTCCACGATTCCAAAACTCCGGTCCGCGTTTCCTGCTCGAACCGTGAAAAAAGCCGTGTGGCAGGGACGGAATCGCGACAGACGGGCCCGACGGCTCGTCTTACTTTCTCGCCTCTCGTTCCCACGAGAAACGGATTTTCCGATCCGATGGGTATCGCGTTAACGAGCAAAACGATGCGTTACAGATGCGAGGTTAATTTGGAATGAATTAGGGTGTTCGCCGCGGATTCGTTTTCGATTAGTTTCCCCGATTTTCGTGCCCCGAAACTCTCGATACCCCCGATAGGGTGCCAAGGGTCGTGAAATCAAGATATATCGAGGGAGGGAGAGAGTAAACGAGAAAGAGAGAGAGAAAGAGATAGATCGAGACGCGTCACGGCGCGAGGCTAATAAATATCGGCGGGTACTTTCGGCTGGATTCTGGTGGGTGCGCGCAGGCTGCGCGGCGACCGGCACGTGCGTCTCGTCCCAACGG